ATTTCCTTCTTTGGGGAAATTGAATTCACTCGATGTAGTGAAATTGTTGTTAAAGGACAAAAAGGCCTAACTAAAAGCCCATTGGGCCAAAACTAGTCCAATCGAACCGGGGAGTTTTGTTCGGATCTGGTGTGTTGCGGCTGTCGGTGGAGGCTCCACTTCAGTTTAGTAGGGCCCACAAACACGTTCCAGGCTGTTTTGTCATACCGACACATTCATCTCACCAAACGCGATCTCCACCGTTGATTACCATTCAGATCTAACGGTTGATAGAGACTGCTGATCCGTCACCTGTTAATTGAATTCGTTTAGTTCCTTCCTCTCTCTTTCTCGAGAATCTCTTATTTTCTCGGCAACGAAGCAAAAGAAAAAAGTGTTTTTTTTTTGTTTGTTCCCGTTGAAGCTAAGCTAGTTTTGTCGGTCTCTCTGGATCTAAGCTGAATATCAGCATTTGTAGGTAAGCGCTTTTGCTTTCAGTTTTTGAGTCTAGTTTCGGTAAACGATTTAGCTGATTTGACTCGGGAATTTTGGTTTCGCTGTTGATTTCGTGATATCAATCTCTGATCTACATTCACATTTTGAAGTATTTCACAAATTTTAACACTTCTGATTCTAATCTAATATACATCATCCTTTCCAATTTTGTTCGTTATCGGTCAATCTACAGCTATTAAGGGATCAGCTAAGTGTTGTTAGTTTTTTACTTAAAAGAGTTTCATGTTTTTAGTTTGTTTGCTGATTTGATTCTTCCTTTGCTGATTCCAATCTTTCCGAAGTAGAATTCGAGAATTGGATTTTGTGTTTTTGGTTTTAGCATGTTCTCGAATTTCTTGTTGAGAGTAGATCTATATGGTCAGAATTTCCTCGTAAAAGGTTGAAATTCATTTCTTGATTAGCATGTTCATGAGTAATAACTGCTTATTAGGAACAACGAAAGTTTCTAATTTTTGCAAACAATTCGAACAAGAAGCTCGCTTTAACTATTTTCTATGATCTTGTAGCTGATACTTCTTGGTTCTTGTAAGCTATGGTGACCATCCGGAGTGGTTCGGTCTTTATTCTGGTTCTGCTGGCTGTATCATGCCTGGTCATGGTTGCAAATGGGGAAGACAAAACGATTAAAGTGAAGAAAGTGAGGGGAGAGAAAGTGTGCACACAAGGATGGGAATGTAGCTGGTGGTCGAAATTCTGCTGTAACCAGACAATATCAGATTACTTTCAGGTTTATCAGTTTGAGCAACTCTTTTCCAAAAGAAACACTCCTGTTGCTCACGCCGTCGGTTTCTGGGACTACCAGTCCTTCATTACGGCTGCTGCTCTCTTCGAGCCTCTCGGGTTTGGTACCACTGGAGGAAAGCTCATGGGACAGAAAGAAATGGCTGCGTTCCTCGGTCATGTCGGCAGCAAAACATCCTGTAAGTTTCCTTGGTTTTAGTTCTGTGAGTTTAAGAAGATAGCTCTTGTGGTTTCTATATTTCGTAAGAAGCTTTGCATTAGCATGAGTGTTACTGTGTTGTCTTATATAGGTGGCTACGGAGTTGCAACAGGAGGGCCATTAGCTTGGGGACTATGCTATAACAGGGAAATGAGCCCAAGCCAGTCTTACTGTGACGACACGTGGAAATTCAAGTACCCTTGCAGCCCTGGAGCTGAATACTACGGACGTGGTGCCTTACCCATTTACTGGTATACATTTCTCTTCTTTTTATTTTTTCTCGTTTTCAAGGATGATCATTCGATGCTAAGGTGTTTTTACTTGTGTTTATATGAAGGAACTTCAACTACGGTGCAGCTGGAGAAGCTCTTAAGGCTGATCTCTTGAACCACCCCGAGTACGTTGAGCAGAACGCGACACTGGCCTTCCAAGCTGCAATCTGGAGATGGATGACACCAATCAAGAAATCTCAGCCCTCGGCTCACGACATTTTTGTTGGAAACTGGAAACCATCGAAGAACGACACTTTGTCCAAACGTGGCCCGACTTTTGGCAGCACGATGAACGTCTTGTACGGAGAGTACACGTGTGGTCAAGGTGACATTGATCCAATGAACAACATAATCTCACACTACTTATACTACCTTGACCTCATGGGTATTGGAAGAGAAGACGCCGGACCAAGCGATGAGCTCAGTTGCGCCGAGCAGAAAGCTTTCAATCCTTCCACTGCACCTTCCTCTGCCTCTTCGTAAAGTCTCTCTGTATTCGCCATTGTTCTTGCTTCACTGGAGAAATGCTACGGAAATAAATGACATTGTTTGTGGTAAAAAAAAAAAAATGTGTGTTCCTGTTTTTGTCTTGGGCTTTTGTCCTTGTAGAACTTATATGCAAACAAAATTTAATATTTTTCTGTATGTAAAACCTTTATTTAATATTATTGTATTTGCAGAATGTGTGTAATGTAGAGAAAGC